CTGCTCTGAACTGTAGCTCATCTTAAATGGCCAGCACCCCACAGAACTGCGCTTAATGAAAACCTTGACAGAGGGGGCGGCTCCATTCAGGTATTTGTTGGAAAGAGAGAGGCTGCAAGCAGTCCAGGCAGTACCTTCATCACCATTTCGCTTTACTGCAAGGAATTTAGCATCTGTTCGAGGGGAGAGAAGAGCTAAATGCTGCTGACCTAGTCCCGTTATAATGGATGGCTGTAACATTTACACAGGATACATGAAAGGTGACCTGCTGGTAGAGAAGTGTTTCTGTATGGAGTGGAGGCCTATGGGTTACAGTCAGCTGAGACTGAAGTGAAAATACATCTTTATATATGTATATATACACACTTCCCTCCTTCCTTCTCCCTCTCTGTACAGACATAATGGACACACATGTTTCTTGTCAATACAAGTACGAGAATGAAAAAGGGAGGGCAAGCTTAAAGCCTGTTTATGGAAATATATGGTCAAGAAAATCTATGTGCCTATATATTTAGGATATGGACATATATGCATATATATAAATTCATGTATCCTCACTGAGGTGCTGGAGCATGTCCAGAGAAGGGCAATGGAGCTGGGGAAGGGTCTGGATCACAAGTCCTGTGAGGATCGGCTGAGGTAGCTGGGGGTATTCAGCCTGGAGGAGGCTGAGGGGAGACCTTAACACTGTCTACAACTAACTGGAAGGAGGGTGTAGCAAGGTGGCTGTTGGTCTGTTCTCCCAAGTGACACTAGGGAGAACAAGGATAGGACAAGATGAAATGGTGTCAAGTTGCCCCAGAGGGGGTTCAGACTGGATGTTAGGAAAAACTTCTTCACCAAAAGGGTTGTCAGGCATTGGAATGGGCTGCCCAGGGAAGCAGTGGGGTCACCATCCCTGGAGGTATTTAAGTGATGTGAGTACGAGGCACTTGGGGGCATGGTTTAGTGGTGGACTTGACAGTGTTGGGTTAACGGTTAGGCTCAATCACGAAGGTCTTTTCCAACCGAAATGATTCTATGATCCTGTGATATAAAACATGGACTCAAACATCTCGCCTTTGACAGTGAACTGATCTAAAGCCATAATTTCCTAGCAGAAAAAACCAAGACACTTGCTTGTTTCCAACTTCTTCATGATGAACCCCAAGTGTTGGCTGGGGACTCCCAGGCGTGACTCCGTTCAGCCGTAGGTGCCAGCAGCAGCGTTGCTCTGGGCGCAACCGTCCCACAGGACTGATGGAACTGCAGAACAGCAGAGGATCCTTGGGCATGTGGGTTAGCCTGGCGTGGTCTGGGTCCGTTCCCCACGATTCTTAAACCCGCTTGTGAGGGCTGCCGCTGGTGGAATAACAACTCCATCGAATTGTTCGCTGAGGTGTGTTTAACGGTAATGACCTCTGGCACGCTGTCACTGCTAATCCGTCTGACTGAGCTCAGATCACAGGCAAGTACAAGACAATCAGCAATGTTTTCTTCCAAAAAAAAAAAAAG